GACGAAAACTATACATCCTTTGCTGTCTCATTACTAGTCCACAAAATGGGGGGAGGTTAGGGGGCGCTTATTCGTAGGGGGAGCTTATTCGAGGGGGGCGCTAATTCGATGATTTACGGTATTTCTTTACTGCATTCTTTTAGAGTTCATACAAAAATGTTTGGATTAGAATAGTGGCATTGGAGTAAAATAACCCTTTTAATTACTAAGTATATCTTTGATCTGTCATGTTTATGGGCCATTTATTCTACCTGTTAGGTTAAGCTTTCTGTGCAAGACTTACCTTTTTAGTTGTGGTTAGTCAAACTATGCTCATGCTAGAACTGAACTGCCAGAAAAATTCCAAAGTTGGCATAATATTTGCCATAATGATCAAATGGTAGACATTCAAGGCTACAAATTTGAAAACACCGCACAGTTTTTATCGCTGTGTTCCGCTGAGGGGTGTCGGGTTGCTTCCTTTGGCAACACACCCGACCAAACATTTTCGCTCCCTTTTTGAGTACACGTGTCAATCACGTGAAGGGTCGTGAGGCGTTTCACTTTCTTTCGCCCTCTTCCGCCATGGTTTCACGAAAGTAATGGGCCGGAGTGAGTCGCCTCTGTTCTTATTCTCATGTACAAAAGAAACAAAGATAACGGAAGTTTTTTTTTTCTTTTTTTCCAGCATGATGTAGATGACAGTGATTACTACACAAACGGAGCTGGGTATCACCATAGTCATAAATATGGATTTGGACTTCTGGACTCCTGGCGACTGGTTAACACCGCTAAGGTAAAAGTTGGATGCTTTTGAAAAGTTGTGCCGATAGCTGCAAGTACTCTATAGAACGGTCATGAATTAACCCTGTGTAACAAATAACTTCTGTTTGTTTGCTCCAGGTCTGGGAGGCAGCACCTTGGATGACGTCATGGTCAACACCCGTAATTCATGTTGGCAAACAAATCCCGTTATCAACCAATCAACTGATTGAAAAGTACTACGGTATGTCGGCCAAATGGGGAATGTCGTCATGCTGACGTCATTGTTTTTAACTTTTTTTATCAGCATGCCACCTTTATGTCGAGAATGCATCATAGTATAGAGATGCAAACTGACCTTAAACATGTAAAGAGCTTGTGAAACTTCGTAGTTTACAAAATTTTAAGTCTTTTGGGTGTAATAATCCCAAGTAATGAAGATATATTAGTTTTCAGAAAATGAAAAATCTTTGGGTAGCAAAAGCATCATACATTTTTTAAATTTCTTAGTTTTCAAGTCCGCTTTACACAAAGAGTATTTAATAAATCGGGCTCAAATTTCTTGGGACAGATAATCGTGCCACTACCTTTCAATATTGGGATTTGACATTTGATATTTTTGTAGCTCGTCCGAGATTGAAGGGCGCAAGTTATGCTGATGAGACAAATATCGTAAACAAAGATTCTCCAGACCTGTAATTTGCTGGGTCAATCAATCAAACAGACTGACAAACAGGCAGCTAATAGTGCACGCGATAACAGAGATATCTGCCCAGAGGAGCGTCGAAAAATCCTTCCTTCCTTGCATACACACATGCATACACTAACAGTATGTTCATTAACGCCTCGTTGCGTATCTCTACAAACATGGAGGTACAGATGATTCTGACATGACTGCTTTCATTTTCAGTCTCTAAAGACAAAGTTACTGAATTGGTTACTTTAGAGCACGTGACGGTCACCGTAAGTAGAGATTTCTGTTTATCCTTTTAAAAGAAAGCCTCAATGTGTCCCAACATTTTATCCGATAGAGCAGCCTTCATACCTTTTTCCAAAAGGGGAAAGGTTAGTGGACAAGTCAAAATTGATTTCTGACAATTGTTTCTTCTCGAAGACTTCGAAACGATATCTAATGGCAAAGCTTAAAGATCGAAAAATCTAAGCCAATGATGATATTTAAATCGTAAGTCGTAAGTCTGCACATGTTTGCTTCGGTTTAATCTCCGATGATCTCCATAGATTAAATGGCAGCTTGCTCGGTAAACGCGCTTTAAGACTGAAGTACATTCATTCTCAGCTCTTTTAGCTTAATTGAATTGTTTCAAATTCCATGCTCTCCTTTAAATATTTCTACCATCCTTTTCAAGGTGAACCTTAAGCACCGACGCCGTGGAAACTTGATGGTTAGTTTGGTGTCTGCTGAAGGAACAACCTCGAAACTGGCTACAGCAAGACAACACGACAGGTAAAGCCAACTTTGCGCTTATTGCTGTTGAGTTACGATGTTAGCTTGACATGGTGTTGTTGGTAAGAAGTTGCAAACTCTGCAACATGATTCGAGAGCTAGCTTGACAAACGGTAATTAACTGTAAGTTATTCTTGGACTGTGAATGAAAATACACACATCAAACATACACACTGCTAAGATTGTGTCTCATCAAAATCCCTAGCTGACTAGCAAGGTCAATACAAACCAGGAGTGAATGGCAGGGGTAATGTAGGAACTGCATGTGTTACGAGTACTGCGTCAGAGCTATACATTACACTCTGCACTATCTGAGATTGTCTCACTAGTTTCTTATTCAACGTAGGTCTCCGGATGGTTTCGTGGACTGGACATTCTCCACTGTGCGGTGCTGGGGAGAAAAGCCACAAGGAACATGGCAACTTATTGTTATTGACAATGGTATGTAATCGAGTCGTGCATATCTTAAACATAGGATTTATGTGAATTGATCAGTCGCTTTAAAGTATAACTTACAATGCATGTAATTGTGCGGTAACTACGACTGTTGTCTGTGACAGCGAATTTCTTCTAATTGAGCAGTCGGGGTAAGTTGTTAGAGCAGCCTTGTGTCTGTAACAAAGTATCTAAGAAACTGAATCTTTTTAGATGACTTGATATCGTGCAGGATAGAGCGGTTTTCAATTGAGTGTCGGAAGTAATCAGGCAATTTCTTTGGTTTTGTTTTTGGTTTTACTACGGTCTGAGTTTAGCTGAGTAGTCTAATTGGTAAGTATGGTCTGGTTTTGGTTTCGGACACTCAGTTAAATACCCCTCTATGACTAAAATGTCTTATAATGCTATATTGCTTAATGATATCCATTTAACCTTTTGTTGAGTTGTTGCGTGACAATTTTTCTCGTCCCCGTAGGATTTGATAACAGCCGAGGTTTCTTGAAAGACTGGAAGTTAACTTTTTATGGCTCGTCCATGACACCAGAACAGATACGCAAAAGACAGAGGTACAATTAACACAACGAACAACTTGTTCCAAAGGGCTCGTCCGTATAGTGTTTGCTTGTTTGTTTGTTTGTTAGTTCGTTGGTTGGCTTCTTTGCTTATTTTTTTATCCTTGTTGATATGTTACTGTTACTAATTTTAAAATTGGCAGCGTGGGACTACAGGTGATTTATCTCTTGGACTTATTTCTTTTTTTTTTAAAGAGACACAAGAAACACTATGATGTAATTTAAAGTGAACACTACATTTTTTTTAGATTGGTCGAGAAAGCGGCAAGTGGCCGGTACCTTCACAGTAATGACACACCGCCATGTCCACCCAGGCCACCGCTGTACACACCACAAGACGTTGTATCCGAGAGAACGCTCAAGGTAATGCTCGGATTTCGAAAGACGACTTTACATCATAGAAGTCGCTTCATAGTCTATATTTATGGCTTATTGACCAAGCTTGTTCTGTCAAGATGGCTGGATATTGGCCAAGCTCTTTTATTGGCGTGTTGATGGACCGAGACGGAGTCGAGGTCCATAAACACGCGAAAAAAAAAANCAGCCAAGTTCTCTTTTTGCTTGTGTTTATAGACCAAGACAGAGTTGAGGCCCATAAACCTGCAAAAAAAGAACAAGCCCAATATCCAGCCATCTTGACCGAACAAGCTTGGTCAATAAAGAATTTATTTATTATATGGAAAAAGAACAGTTTCCTTGTGCGACATAGCGAGTAATTCCAAGCGGGCAAGATAGCGCCCTCTTGCCCACTTGGGTAGCCAATCACAGCGCAGGATTCAGTTCATTTTGCCCGCTCACGGAGCCAGCCATACAATAATGTATAATTTGATTTGACTTGTGATCGTTTTGCCTGAAGCTATGTAAACATTACTGCATTTTGTTGGCTTTTTTAAAAAACCAGTTGACTTAAATTCAGGTATGTTAATTGACCACTCCCACAATGGAAACAGAAAAAGCCTCTTCCTTGTTTACAGAGTTTGATGTAAACATTCATGAAAGTTCGGGAGGATTCATTGGTTCCTTCTTAACTAGTGACTTTGTTTCTTATTTAAGGTGCTGCTTCTGTTCGGCGGCTTCTGTCTTCTCGTGTCCATCTATTATTCTGTTGACGTCATGTTCGATAGCGAGGCTAGTGACGAGAAAAGCCTCGATTCGACGAGTGCGGAACCACAAGAAGAGACCCCACTGTTGTCAAATAAACTTGCCGAAGAGGATCAGATCAGACTCAGGTCTGCTTAGCCAACATCTTATAGGGTTTAAGAATGACGTGGAGCAAACGGGAAATGGCAAAAGTTGCCCCTAATTTTGTGTTCTTTTCGTAGTCAATCCAACACAACAAGAGAAAAAATCCCCTATTTACAGAAAATGTAAATAATTTCACTTTCGTGGCCTAACAGCCAAACGCAGTCAGCAGAAGGTTGTTTTTCTTTTTTTGTTGCCGTTTGTCTGTGGCCGTAAACTTCATCCTCAACCTCTTTATTATGTTTTCTTATGGCGTAACTTTCTTAGTGCTCCTAAAACTGAATGCTAAGCAGTCTGTTGCAATCAGTGGTACAGTTATTACCGACGTAGAGCAAAACCGATGACTTTGGCGGTTTTCGTCTGATTGTTGTAAAACCAAAACCGATCTAATCACTCCAGCCAATCACAAAGGACACAGACAATCCAGTGAACCAATCAAAGCTCGAATTAATTACATGTAGCTGATGCGAAGCGCGGGAAAACGCGGGCGAACGATTCACGATTGGTTTTGGTTTTACTTCTGATTGGATGAGGAAGTGGCGCGAGTCTTTTTAAAGCGAATCGTGTAGCGTAGTGAGTACAAAGCCAACTACTTTTCGACACTCGAATGAAAACCGCTTTAAATAATTAACATTTTGATTAAGAACATCGCAATTATCTAGAACTGTTGAGCGTCAAAACCATCCTTTACAGAGACACCGGCCAACGCCAGTTAAATACATATGAAACCTCGCGTTAAGGGTCCACGTTTTCGAAAATCAAGAAAGCTTGGTGATTTGCACGGCACGGCAAAGAAATTTACAAAGATTTATAAAGCACGTGTAACGTTGGTGTACCATTCAGGTTCTGTCCGCTCTACGTTGGGGGAATTTGAAAATGGAAGTATCACTTTGAAAACGCATCAAATGTTTTGCCATCGTCTTCGAAAAATTCCGTTTGCAAATTGTTTTCCGTCCCCACGAAAACACAAAAATGGCGTTTCCAAATTCCTCCAGGTAGAAGAGCGTTTTCAAAAAGCGCTGTTTTCGTGGTGGCTTATTGTGGACGGCAGGCCTAACCGTAGAAATAAAGCTGGGTTTTCAATTTCCCACAGCGTAGTGTGGACACTGCCTCATTTATAAGCTGTTTTGGCAACCTCGCTGCCACTGTTCGGTGTGTAAGCTCCCTATAAACATGAAATACAAGTGACAGGTGGGATATTTCATGGTATACCACGAGAGAGCATTGCATAACTATATTATGTCATGCCATGGAAAATGCAGTGGATGACACACTCAATGCGACATTCGCGCGGTGTATGATTGGGAGGTTGGATGTGATACCGTCGAATATACGACGGGTTCTTGTATTCTGATTGGCTGTATTATCTATGGTGTGGCATAAAATAGCATGTTGTATGTTTTCTTGTATTCAGCCACATACTGGAGAGAGGAACCAAGCAGGAGGTCACACACGAAGATCGTTTAAAAGACATCGGTCATTCAGCCCAACCCAAGCATGCTCCCTCTCCCGTGGACGAGAGAAGACGAGTCGAAGAGTTCGAAAGAAGGCTTCGCTTTGCAATGGAGCAAAGTTTATATTTACAGGCGCAACACTTGAGTGCCCTGGACAAATTTGAGATGGATCTTACACAGGCCAAAAAAGAGAGCTTACTCACGAATGCGCTCCATAAGAGCCGCTTAGAAGAGGCGCCTGCGAGCAAGAAGAGTAGGGCACCCCTGAAGGGAATTCTAAAGAAGTCTAGAAGGTAACAACGATTCGATTATACTTGACATGTGGTGTGAAAGACCAGGCCAACTTCTCTGAATCGATTATTAAACTGGAAAAGCTCACTCCTGGAAAATGTCACATGTTTGTTGCTGTTTGTTTGTTTGTTTTTTATTACCACGCGACCATTTTATCTTCTAAATGCCTTTAACCATGGTAAGTCATAAAGCTGACGAACAACATGAATGTTTGCCTACTGACAGCGTTTGCCTGTCACGGACGTCAGTCTTGGTCCCCCGCCCTGTTGTCACGCAATGCTACTTGGCGTGGCGTGACTGGGAGAAGTGTGAATTTTTATCCATGATGTTTTCTTCATTGCAGTAAAAGCTCAAGATAACCATTGCCGATCCTCGTATTGGTCTTAAAGACGTCAAATGGACGTCATATTACAGCCATGCAGGTTATGCTTAAATCACACGAGAAGCCTTGGACACTGCTTTCCGCTCCTTTATATTTTCGCGCGCTCACTCGATCAAGACCGCTTTCTCTTTGAGACAATGCAATGTGACCAGTAAATAGCAACTGAGTACGAGTCTGCAGAATAAGCGTATTTAGTGAACACCGGGGGGTACTCCCAGAAAAGTTGGGTGGGGGTGTGCGGCCCACTTCCCAAACCCCTTACCCAATTTATGACCAAAATCTGCGATTTTTGCTACCCTATTTATGACCTGGCCAAAACTTTGATACTCTATTTATGACCGTTGCGGCTGGCACAGTTACCCTAAGCATAAGTTATGAAGGGCTTTTGTTGAAGGTCTTATTGATAATGATGAAAAAGTAGCTTCGTCTAAGAAGCATACCCAATTCAAGACTAGAGTCCTAAAACCATACCCTATTTGAGACCAAAATGGCCAAAATCGATAACCTATTTATGACTAAAACGGCTGAAAAACCCTACCCTTTGGGGCCGCACATACCTATATAGCCCATATAAGGGAGTAACCCCCCCCCCCCCCCC